AATTTGAAAATGGACAAACAATAGGCATTTTCCCAAAGAAGATGTACAAATAGTCAATAATCACATGAAAACATCACTGTCATGAAGGAAAAGCAAATCACCGATTGGTGGTATCACTTTACATGCATTTGTTTTAATGGCTATTTTAAGCTAAATGGAAATAAATGTTGAGAGGGAAGATAGAGAAAACAAAACCATAAAAATTTTCTGGTGGGTTCCAGCTATGACAACCCAGATGTGGTTTCTGCCTTTAAATATCCTAAAATGCTCAGGCTCGGGGCTGCTCTTTGCAGAGACAGTCAGTTCTGTGGAGAGCAGTTGGTGGCTGGCCAGCTAAATATTCTTCAATTTGGACAAAAATAAAATAAAAATAAAAAGAATTTTTTTTTTCTGGTGGGAATTTAAATTAATCAACAACTACACAAAACCGTATAATAGTTCCTCAAAATATTAAGGTGGAATTATTACATGATTAAGCAAATCCACTTGTAGGTTCCAAGAGAATTGGAAGGACAGACTAAAACCAACACCTGCACACCAATGTTTATGGTACCTTTATTCACATTAGCCGAGTGGTGCAAATAACCCCAAATTCCGTGTAATTCCCCTTCTCCCTCCCACTCCCTCCAACCTCTCTTCCCTGTTTAGTGGTAATCTTCTTCTCATACTCTTCCTCCCTACTCTATTTTGAGTCATCCCCCTTATATCAAAGAAGACTGCAACCTGTACATGTGGAAAAATAAGAATTCATACCCCATTTGAATCAAATGTATGATATTTCAAGATCATTGTATTGTCTTGAGCAATTAATAAAAAATCCAAAAAACCCAAAATTCCCTACATAAACCAATGAATAAGCAACATGTTGCATGTTCATGCCAAGTTGTATCATTCGGTCTTAAAAAGGAATAAAGCTTTGAAAAATGCAATAATGTAGATGAATTTGGAAAACATTATTCTTAGTGTTAAACCAGAAAAAAAAGTATGATTTCACATATCAGGTCCTTTGAACAGGCAATTCCATAGAGACAGACAGTGAAGTAGAGGTTACCAGCAGTTGGAGAAGAGAGGGAATGAGGCATTCTTGTTTAACTGCATGGGAATTCTGTTTGGAAAATTGGAAAGCACTGGAAATGGAAAATAGCCATGGTGCACAACATTGTGAAAGTA